ATGAACAAAATTATATATTTTTAATGCATTATATAAGTATTGGAACTTAAATTTGTTTTTAATAATTCTTAATATTTAAAAATTTTTTGAATATTATTTTGATTCACCTTAGCTTTCATATTTTGTAGAAATGTTTGTTTATATTCTTCAACTCCATCTTACACTTTTTTCAATTCTACCATTTTCAAACAGAAATCTAAAACTTTTTGAAGAATTTCTAAAATGAAACCCCCACTGTTCATACCCTCACCAAATGCCCAACAATAATTTCTAATTATTTAACGCCAAGTGTCAACGTCTTTTTTAATGTTTCCTCAATTTGGCTGTAAATGGACATCAAGCCATCTGCCCTTTGACTTCTGACCGCCCCCTTGAGTTCAGTTTATTTCATGCTTCGCTGCGGCCCCTATATGCAAACAATTTTATATACATGAACGTATATGTTTTTCCAAAAACCTAACCTTACACAAAATATACATTTTCTATTTATATTTATATACGTCTATTTGTTGCCTGGTATATTGATATTTAGTGAGAACCTCTATTCCAATTCTTCACACAAAAACCCACAAACAAAAACAAAAACAACAATTAATGTAATGTAATGGAAATTTGCTTCCGCAATAATAAAATTTTTACATTGCAGATTTTATGCTTCAAGTCTAGACGACAATTTTGGAACGTGCTCAATTAGTGTTATATGAATAACAGGCTAATACCTCCCGCTACCCCGCCGCCGATGCCAACCCCATCACCCCCCTTTTGCCCGGCCTAAGCAAAAACAATTTGCAAATGACATCTGGCAATGCGAGTGACGCGACGGCGGCAATAATACTATTTCATAATTTTTACTACACACAAGTAACTACATATATTTATAAATACATATATATGAGCTGATATATGCATATACAATATATTCTCAAGCTGCACGATATGGTTTAAATGGATTGGGCGGGCAGTCCAATACGAGTGCCCCAGTCGTAGTTCCATATAATCAACACCAGCTAAAAACCAAAGTCGTGCGAAATTTGTTAATACTTGTAATACCACATAGCGCTAAGTGGGCGACTAGGGGGTATGACGGGAATACAGAGATACCTAGCACAAATTCAACTGTGTGAGTCATCGGTAATCGATAACATACCGATAAACATACGATTTCAAGCTGTGAAAACGGATAGAGAAACAATTTTATTTATTTTAACTTATCGATAACATTATCGATTATCTGTCAAACTGCGTCAAAAACATAATGAGAGCAAAATCTGGTTTGTATAGTAAATGTGGTAGCCGATATATTATACTGTAAATTATCGATCAAGTGGTTTTTATTGTGGGGAAAAATATCGATAATTGCGAATCATCGATCGCCGTATTATTAATAGTAGTATTATTAACAGGGTATTTCGCCTGTCGCAGGTCGTGCCCACCTGACAACATTATGCACACTTTTTAAGTATAATTTTTCACGTCGCACTACCAAGCAACAGCGAGGGAGGAGGCGAGGGCGAGGCAAAGACTTGCGCCTGATGGCGTCGATAAAAACAAATTCGTAGACACTTGGTAATTGTTTTTCATATTCCGTTTGTGTATTTGTTGCTGTTGTTGCGATTGTTTTTATTTCAAATGCACATTAGTAAAGCTACAACAACAACAACTGCAACTACAACTATTTGCGGCGCGGAGCCCTGCGCAATTTGTTTTCAATTGAGCGCGGGCGCTATTCCCTAGTTGTTTACTTTTTTTCTCTCCCCTCGTTTCTTCAGGAAAGTTCGTGAATCTCATGTATTTAGATGCAAGCAGGAAGACAGCGCGAAAAGGCGGAGAGGAATAGTGGAAGAGGGCACGGCCGTATGGCAGCGCCTACGCAAAGAATAGTAAAAGAGGCAATAGATATAGATTTGAAGCACACGACCGAACAACGCACAGCCATTCGCAACACGTGGGTGTGAAGAGAGACGGACAGGCGACATTTGAATAGAGTGCAAATGGTCGGTAGTGCGGAAGAGAGAGGGACAGAGAGGGAGAAGGGTGGCGCTGTGCACAGACCATGACTAATCACAACGGTGGGGGCATAAATCATTTGCAGACAAAGCAGCGGGAGAAATCTTTTAGCTCTTTATGGTTGCTGTTGTTGTTGTTGTTGCTGCTGCTGCTGCTTTTGTTGTTACGGCTGCTCCAAACAGGAAGAGCTTTCTGCACACACACAGAGAAAAAAAGTTTGTTTTTACTGTAGGCAGACGAAAGAGCGGCAAAGAATAAAAAATCATAAAAACAAACACCCAAACAAAATGAATACATAAAATATGTCTTAACCTTGACATTGAATACGACGAATACATAAAAAGAAAATGCCGGCAAACACGTTACACATACAGAGTCACACACAAATAACAATGTGCGTTTGTGTGTGAGTATCTGCAAAGCTTAGGCACGCTCGGCAGCGGCAGCAGCAGCAGTAGCATTGGAAGGGCGAATTAAATAAATATTAAAGAGCTACAAACGCGCGAATAGCAAAGTCAGAAAATGCCTAAAAACGTTTGTTTATCAAATATACTAAAAATAAAAATAAAGTCGCCGCGTGTGGCGTTATAAATAGCAAACAACAAAAAAAAAAATAATAAACAAATACGCAAAGGAAATAAAAAGCGATAAAAAAAATTGTTTGCTTTTATGAATTAAAAAGTGCAAACGCAGAAAATAATACACATCAGCCGGTTTTTTTTCCATCTCCCTCTCTCTTGATAAGCAGCAAATGCAATGCATAAACAGAAGCAAGCACAAGCTTTGCACCGAGTCTTCAAGAGAGAGAGAGAGTGTGTTAAAGAGCGTGAGAGCGGCTGTGTATGTGACATAGGCGCAACAACTGTGCGCTTGAAGCAATATAACAGATCAAAATTAAATCAGAGAAGAGACACAAAGAATATTCGAAAGCTGCGACAAGAACAACAACAACAGCAAATGAGAGAGCTGAAAGAATAAAAATAAAAACAAATATTACGGCCTTGAAAACTGGACAAAAGCAAGCACAATAACAACGAAAACAGAAAAGAAGAGAGCCTAAACGATGAAGGGAATTAGAAGCTGGTTTGTTTTTGTCTTCTGTTTTTCGGGGTTGAACGAGCACACGACACATGATGAAAGGGTAACGCGGGACAGGCTCAGGCTGTGCAGATCTTGTGCAAAACAGAAGACGAAGAAGAAGAGAAAGACAAAAACCCAGAGCGGAGCACACAGGCATGTCTATGAGTATGTATGTATATACATATGTATTATATGAGAGAAGAGCTTGGAAATCAATAAGAAATAAGAGCAAAAAGAGGGCCACAGCCAAATATAAAAGCACGATCTATTTTTTTTCGTTCTTCGTTCTTCTTCGTAGTCGTCATGTTGTTGTTTACCATTTGCAGCTTGTTTTGCTCGCACACACCCACACATACACACACATTTGTATTTTTTATCGGACTGGAATGAATTCTAATGCGCCCAACGACGAACTCGCGTTGAGAAACGGAAATTTTAAAATTGGTCATAATGAAAATAAAAGTATATACACACACATACACAGATCGATGTATATGTATGTGTGTAAGAATTTACATAGTTCTTAATATATTTCGGCTGTTGAAGCTTTCAATAAATTTTGATGATTAATTTCGCATGTGTGAGGGCAAGTCTTCAATCAACGAGAAACGGCGAGGGCAAGGAGCAGGCGAATACCAAACCTTGACCCAAAGTAATGGATAAAAACATACAAACAGATAAAGCAAGCGCACAAGCGAAAGAAAAGAAGAGAAACAAAATAAATAAACTGAATTCGATAAAAGTGAAACTCGTAATACAAGTACAAACATACACACACATATGTATGTACATACGTACGTACGTATATAAATAAATAATAAATGTGCGACCAAAAAGGAAATAACAAGCAGAATGGCAAAGCGAAAAAAAAAAACGCAACGCTTGAAATTCGCAAACAGAATGCGACGAGGCAGGCAGGAATTGGAAGATCAGCGAGAGAGCGAGCGAGCGAGAGAGCGAAAGTACTGTGCAGGCGAAAGGAAGTAAAGCTGCGAGGAAAACAGAGAAAGAGACATACATATGTATAGCTTGGTGTGATTAAGTGTGCTTGATTTGCATAATGCAAGCGAGCTTCCTTGAAAGTATTTACAAAAAAGAGAAACAAAAACAAAAAAAAGATCTTGTGATTTATTTCAAGAGACATATTTTACAAATAATTTGAATTAATTTCGGCGATTAATCTTTTTCTTTTTATATTTGGCAGCTGTTTGCGAGTGAGAATCGTTTTGGAAATATCAAGGTTATATAAGCGCAACAATATTAAAAAAAAAAAAAAATACTTCGGCAAACAAACAAACATTTGCTTTCGAACACTATCAAACAAGAAATTAATCACAATGGTCATGGATTAAAATCTTTAAAATGTGAAATACTCCAATGTTTATATGATTAGCATGTTATAATGAACACAAAAAAAAAAAAAATAAATAAATAAAAAAAAAAAAAAATATATATATATATATATTATTTTCATTTATTTTTATTTATTTTTATTTTTATTTTTTTTTTTTATTTATTTATTTTTTTTTTTTTTTTTTTTTTCAATGAAAGAAGTTTTTTTGTAAGTAACCGTCTATGTATGTATATATTTTCTATTAATTTAATTTTCTATTAAAGAAAATATCTTTCGTAAATAAATTAAAATACATTTATGTAGCATTAAGTATATTTTTTCAATGAATTATTTATTCTCTTTTTCATTGTTTCTTTCATTTGCCCAATTTTGTCATTTAGTGTAGATACAAATTTCTAATTTTGTTCCTCACTTTTGTTTCGAATTTCGAATTATTGACATTGCGCCCACATGTTGGGAAATTTTCAAATTCAATCAAGTGAAGGCGCAAACGATAGGGGGGCAAGGAGTGAGGGCTGCACTGGAAGGCTAAAGTGTGTATTATTTACTGTTAACTTACCGCACACGCTCCGAGTAGATTTCGACTTCTTTGTTCTTCTGCTGCTGCACGAGCTGCTGCTGATCGTAGCTGGCGAGCGGCTTGAATCCGCTGATGTTGGCCAAGGAGGGCAGCTGCGGTGCTGCTGCTGCTGATGGTGTTGGTGGCTGCAGCAGGCACTTGGCCAGGCCGAGGCCGTTATGTTGTTGTTGTTGTTGCAGCAGCTGCAATTGCTGCTGTTGTTGCTGTTGCTGATAGTGCAACTGTTGCTGCTGCACGGGCGAGAGCGAACTGTCCGCGCTGGACTGCGAGGCCGAGGGCGAACTGGAACCACTGGAAGAGAGGCTTCCAGCGCGAGCACGCAAATCTAGGCCCAACACATTGTGATTGTTGTTGTTACCATTGCTGTTGTTGTTGTTGTTGTTGCTCATGAGTATGTTGCTGAGGGTTGCCACAACACTGGGCTGCAAGCCAGTTGCCTGATTATTGCTGCTGCTGTTGTTGTTGCTGGCGTTGCTGTTGTTGTTGTGGGGCAAACCAGAGCCAATCACGCCCACATTCGGATTGGGCGTAATATTCGCCGCATTCGTGTTGATTGGCGCTAGAGCAACAACACCTTGTTTTAGGTTGTTGGCTGAGTTGTTGTTGTTGTTGTTATTGTTGGCATTCCCATTGGTATTGCGATTTCGCTTCTTCTTCGCCTTCGCCTTTTTGTCATCGTCATCGCTGCCGCTGCCGCCGCCAATCAACGACCGCTGGAAACAAATTCCAGTCGGCGGCCATTCCAGATCCTTGCGCAAATGCCCACGGCCGCACTTGCAGCTGCAATTCTTATAGACCAGATCGTAGCCCTTTTTGGTCCACAACTGCTGCACTCGCTGCCGCTCCGACCAGCTGCGACCCCGAGCGCTCGCCTTCAGCTGCTGCAGCACGCCCGCCTCCCACTGCTCGAAGCAATCCCGATGCATATACTGGCCCTCGTTGCAGTTCTCATTGTTGCACACCACGCGCACATAGTCGCCGAGCCGACTCTGATCATCCAGGGCGATGAGGGTGTCCAGTTTGGTGCATTCACCGTTAGGATAGCAGCAGCGCGTCAACTGAACGCCGACGCTGAGCGTTTGCTGCATGGGCGCCATGTTTACTGGTGGAGTCGGGAAGTGGAGAGTGGAGTTGTAGAGATGCAGCTCCTGCTGCTGCTGCTGTTGCTGGAGTTGTAGCTCTAGTTGTTGCTGCTGCTGCTGCTGCTGTTGAGAGTTACCGCTACTGCTGCTGCGACGCGGCGCCATAAATTCGCACGTGTCTAAAAAATTTGTTGCTGCTCTCAACTATTTCCGCTTCTTATTCTTAACAAAGTATTTTTTAAGCCCTGCTAAGCAACTGCCTCAGCATGTTTAAATATTTTTGGTTCTTCAAAATTTTCGTTAATTTTTCAACTGTATAAAAAGTGTACACAAAATTGCAGTCTATGATTTTTTTATTGTTAATTTATTGCTAAATTTATACCTGAGCTGAGTTTACAACGCGCGTTTCTAGTATCAAAAATTTATTTTGTTTTTTACATTTTTATTTTTATTTTTTTAATTCGCACACACGCACAAAAATTGTTTATTTGGCGGCGCCGGTTTAGTTTTTTTTTATTATTACACCACACACTGTCTTTTTTGCATATTATATATTGAGTAGGAAAATATATATATGTATACAAAACGTATTCGATGCCGTTTATTTATTTTATTTTTTTTTATTATGTTCTTCGCTGATTTTGCATTGTTTCGCTTTGCCCACTTCCAATTTTTAGATCAAGTGCGGCGAACGGAGAGCGCTGCGATAAACACAACCAACCAGATCAAAAGCGAAAATCCAACTAAATGAAACGAACGGTACACACGAGCAGCCGAACCGTCAGCGAACGAACAACAAACTGAAACTGAAATTCGAAGCACACACACACACACACATGCACATACACAATCGCACAGCCGACCGGCAGACGCAACACATACGCACACGTATTCTCGCTGCTGCTGTTGCTGCCGTGCCTCTGCCGCAGCCGCAGCCGCTGCCTCTGCCTCTGTTGCTCTTGTTGTTGTTGGTGGGTGGATGGGTCGAGCAGCTCGATGTTGTCCGTCGAACTGCACAGCCGCTGCATAGCTCGGCAGCGTTTGGTCCAACCACGACGCTGGCAGCGCAGTTGCAAGTTTTATTTTTTTGCGGCTGTTGTTATTGCTTAGGGGTGAGTGGGTGTTAGGGTGGTTTGGTTGGCTGGTTTCACTTTCCACCACCACCGAAATAGACGTCGCCACCTCGCTTCGGAAAATGCTTGTTTTTCATTTGAGGAAAATTTCGTACAAGTTTTGGCGCTAAAAATCGAGAAGTCGGGCGGGGTGGTTTTTTGGCAATGTATTTTCCATGGGGTTGGTTGGTGGAGCTTGCGGCACTTGAGTAAACGAGCAAGGGAGACAGCAAGAGGTATTAACGAAAAGTTCTATTCAAATTCACTTTCAATGCGGCTCGAACATGACGCAAACGCAGCTCGTTTCCCCTACAACATGTTGTACTGCGCTGCGCAAAGTCAGTAAAATGCTCGACAGCGCACCAGGCGCAACATGTATGAAGCTAGTGTGTGCTTGGTCGTGTTTATGGTCGTGTATGTGTGTGTGACGCAAAAAAGCCGGCAAAACAAACAACAGACTGCGTTGAGCAGGGTTGTCGAGTTGATTTGCGTTTAAAAATTTACCAAGAACGTTCTGGCAGCTGATCGGAATATTCCATAAAGTTTCTTATTCTTAGATACAGTCTAATTATACATTTAGATACATATACTCGCATGTCAACTAGATGTGTACAATTCGCAATATGTATTGATACCTGTGCCAAAATATGTGTCTTACCTGTTTCCTAATTGACTATCAAATGTGCACACATACAAATAGATATGTATATATGTATGTATATACGTATGAGTATGTGCGTACATCTTCCCATAGAATCTACTTTGTTTCGGTTTTGACTGGAATGGGAGCCCTTGCAGGCCGTCTACTGCTGACTGTGCCTCAATTTGGTATATAATCCCGAAAAACACACGCACACACATGTGCATTTACAATATTAGCGCATATAAGCACAAATACATAGGCAACTTAACACAATGGCACACGAACAAAAATAAAAGAGGCATTAAAAAAGCAAGCTGAAGAAGGCATAAAACAGCAAAAGCAAAATGGAAACATACGAGCCAAGTCGAGCCATTTGGCACGCTGCAATGCGTATGCACTTCTCTTAACATGCTGAAAATATTTTTCTTGGTGCATGTGAATAACAAAACTCGCTAAAATATAACAAGCCATATTATTGTGGATTAAATTTCATTTGATTTACATAAATAAAATGTATGAGCATAGACATTTGAATTCGTGTACTTCAATAATGTAGGGTATTCCATAATTTATTATACCGCTCCGATGCTTTTTCGCTGTTGGTGTCAGTATCGTCGCTGTTCTCTGTTGCGCTCTTCGCATCATCGACTGCTCTTCTACTTGTGTGTATGAATGTATGTGTGTATACATATACACTATTTGTGCATATAGATATATTTCTGTGTATGTGTTGCTTGGTTATTTACGTTTGAATTGTGCTGCTTCCCTTTTAGAGTCCTGTATTAAAATCGAAAAGCAAAGCGTGTTGCGAAAAGGACGAAAACAAATAACAAAGGCAAACCCCAAAATAAGGGCACGTGTAGGATGAGCTTTATACATATGTATGTACATACATACACATGTACATATGTACGTATTTGTGTACTTCTAGTCGTTATACACAGTCATACATCGGTATGTATATATGTAAATATGTAAGTATATGTATGTACTTACATTTGTATGTATGCAAGTGTGTCTATCTGTGCATGTGCATGCTAATTTGCTTGTTTATGTCACTGTTAATATGTATGAACATACATATGTACATATTTCAGGCGATGTATTAAAGAGTCTCTAATAGAGGCTTAGTGTATGTATATATGTATTTAATACCATATGTACATATGCAACTTTTATGAATTATCGATACTCTAACGTCACAGGCGCATATACTGCGGTATGTATACGTATGTACATATGTACATCCCATCATCTGCTGGAAAGTGAAAACTATAATTTAAATGATTTATAAATTGTATATATACATACATATGTATTTATTTATGAACATATGTTAATGTGAATGAATTTAAATATATCGATAACATAATGATCCAAAACTCGATAGGCTTGCAGCTGTGCTGCTCGCACGTGTCTTGCAAAATGTCCATACATGCATACTTACATACATATGTATGTATGTAAAAAGTAGATCAAACGAAAACAAAAATACATACAGGCACACATTAATGCGGATATACTTGTTTGCGTGTGTGTTTGTGTTTCTTATAGGATTCGTTAACGAAGGATTTGGCATAAAGTCAAGGCCTTGGTCGCGTCCAACTGACAAAGTCAAAAACTGCGTAGTTTTTGGGCCACCTTTTGTGCCTGCCTGCCTGTCTACCTGCATGTGTGTGTGAGCTTGAATGCGAGTGTGTGCGGAGCGTCGCGAGGGGTAGCTGCTCTGATATAATAATTAAGTCAGGTAGGCAGATCGCAGCCATTGCGTAATAAGTTCGACAGTGTGAATGGGTGAGTAAACATGTGCAACATGTGTATGTGTGCATGTGCTTGTTTGGTATTCTAGCTGCAAGGATCGAGGCGTAAAGAATAATCAAGTGGGAGAGAGAGGGAAAGATATACACACAGAAAAGAGAACAAAGAACCAGGCGTCAACGGAGGAAGTTGAAATTGGACTAGTTTGCGTTGCTTTGCTTCTTGAGTTCTTTTCTTTTCTTCTTTTCTCCTTTATTATTATTTTCTTTGCTTATTATTTTATTGTGTGCGCCTCTGCGCTGACCTAATTTTAATGACCAGTAAAATGAAACTGGGGGATCGCAGTGCAGCAAGAATTTTGCAGCCCTGCGGCTGGGACCATAATTCAGCTTCAGCTTCAGCTTTAGCTTTGGCGACGTCGCGACGTAGACGTCGACGACGACGACACGCATCAACTTTAATTTTCATAATTAATGACAACTAAAGGCTGCAGAAGACGTAGCCCCTGGACATGGGCATGGGCATGGTCTGGGTCTCCATAAATAAATGTCGGTCTAAACATCGCCTTTTGACACCCAGCATGAAGGCTACCAAGACCAAGACTTCCTGTTTTGCGTGTGAGAAAGCGTGTCGATATTTGGTGCCGAAGGAAACTTTGCGGCTAAGACGCAAACAAACCTGCGAGTACAGTGAAAGCTCGGCGAACGCACAGCTAAAGAGACTTGAATTTACTTGAGCATTAACAATTGTTTTTTCTTGCACCAAAAGTAAAAGATTTTGGAGAGAGAACCTACGAATCGCATTCAAGTTAATCCTTCAACAAGATACATTCGATGTATCATTCATTCATAACTAAAGGAATTTGCATATGGAATGACTGTGAAATAAATAATATTTAAGTATGGTGAGAATATATATATATATATATATATATATATGGTGAAACTTAAGGAATTCTCCAAAAATAATATTTTAATATGTTTACCAAAAATTAATGTGTTTTTTGAATTACTTATACATAACGTTATAACTTCTTTGATTTTTCCAATATTCCCAATTTATCATAAAAATATGTAATAAATAATTTAATAACATATATCTATCTCTATCTATCTATATATTATATCAACATTTCCATTTTTTGTATATCTTAAATTTTGTACCACAATATCTAATTTCTAATCCAATATCTCCAATTTTGCCTGAAATGTATATTAAGTCTCATTCTCTGTATGAAAAACTGAATTTCTTGTACTATCGTAGTTTAATTGATATACAAAATTTTAACTCAATTTATTTAAATATATAAAAATCAAAAACTAAAGAGATTTTCTATGTGAAAGATTCGTTCTCATCCCAAATCGTATCATACTCCGCACATCTGTAGCAACTCTGGTGCGTGATGTGTTTTAGTAGTTCTTCTTCTTCAACTTTTATGGATTTCACTGTACTCTCACTTTAAAATTGATGCATGCAAAAATCAAGTTCGCATTAAGTTCGCGGTGGTAGCGGCCGTAACACCCATACCCCTTCGACCCCTACCGCTCTCAGCTGTGGCTATCGAGGGTGTGTCAGTGGTACACAGCAGATGCACAGATCCCCATATACCCTGTATATATATAGATATGTATATATGTGTATGTATATTTATTTGTATGCGTGTGGCTGGGTATTATTTGTAATTACCCATACTCCCGCATTTATCCAATCGGAAGCGGCTTTGAAACCCAAAATAGGGTTTGAAATTTTTCATGCTGGCATGACAACCACTGTCCACAGTCGAGTACATAACGCCACAAATGTATATATATGCATATAGTATATCTGGTATATATAGTATATATATATATATATAGACGCGCTCTTTATGAGCCCAGCTGTGCGCGAAGGGTGCCGTTATTTCGTTTGCCAAAAATAACTCAAACTCCATTTTGTTTTCCACTTTGTGTTTTCGTTTCATTTTTTGGTTTGCCATGGCTCTTGGGCGTGGGCGTTAATGTGGGGTGTGGCGCCCTCCTCTTATTAATTTGGAGTATCTGTCTCTCTCCCTCCTTCCCCCTCTCCCTTTCTCACTTTCTCTCTCTTACATATGTAAACGAAATGAAGTCAGCATTTGCAATTGAAAATGGCCCAAAAACCAACATTTCAACTATTTGCAGTTCTCCCGGATTGTTGAGTATGGCATATAAAATCTTTAGCATATAGAATGTATATGTACATATATATACATAAATTATATATAGATTATATAGCTGGCATACCGAGCATATACTATAATGTTTTTTCTTAAAGCTAATGCTGGTATTATAGCAATGTTTCTTTAAGAGTATTGTAGAAAAATATTTTTCAAATTTGAAAATATATTTTTGTGTCAATATTTTTTGTTATTATGAAGGAAACCCTATCAAATATAGTACAAAAATTAAAAAACAAAATTCCAGCCTCTGTTAAAGTAAAAAGATAGCCTGAATACATATTTAGCATAGAGATAAAACTCTGCAAGATAGAATCCTATCCCCGAAAGTTTAGTTATATATGTAGATATATGTATATAGATTTAACTCTAGAACAGAGTTTATTTGCTTAGATTACCAACCCACAAAAATAGGTATGAAGGCATATGTAAGTATTGTATATACTGGGTATTGTATTTACATGTGTATTTGTATAGCATATCTCATTTTCTATTTATGTATGTGTGTGTGTGTGTGAAAGCAGAAAGTGAAAGTGAGCGAGATAGCGCAACAGAGCTAAAATTTCATTTGTCCTTTGTGTTAGCACGTAACGAAAGCGAGAGAGTAAGCGCGCGAGAGAAAGACAGAGAGTGAGGAGAATGAGTAAGTGGGAGAGGGAGGGCGAGAGAGAGAGAGAGAGCATTAGCAGGGGCAAGGACAAGGACAAGGAGACGAATATTTTGAGGCGCACGCACTTTTCGGCTCACTTGTTTCGGGGTTATTTTTTCTACAGATGAGAGAGTAAATACATTTATATATGTATACATATACATATGTAGGTATGTGTATGTATATGGGTACATCTATACAAATACTAACTGTAATAAGCGTAGTAGGGCAACAAAGTGTAGTGCATGTATATATGTATATGCATGTACATGTATTCTCGTCTAAGTATAGTAAAATGTTTCCTTCAGTGCCTACACCTAGCTAACTCCGCCCACACAAATGTGGAATCAACTGTAATATGGCTGAACATTCAGGTAGACCTACACAGACGTGGAGTGGCTAAAGAAAATGAAGGTAAAAACCCTGGTAGTAATAAAAATTTCTAAATGGTTTGCTGGGAAAATAGAAGGTTAGGGCATTAACATAGATACGTACGGAACTCAAAGATAAATAGATGCGAGATACATAGATTGATACGAATAAAAATACAAAAATTTTGAGATAAAAATATTTTTTCATGTATCTTAAACATATTGAAAAATTCGAGTAATATTTGGGTATTTGTGAAAAGATAAAATAAATTGCTAAAACTAAAATAAAAATTGGTATACACATTTGGTTAGGCTAATAAGTTTTAGAAAGTGTATACGCCCTCTATATATATATATATACCTAATCTACAGATATTTTAGATTTATAGATCTCTAGCATATATCCAAGAAAATGATTCATCGTAGTCATAGAACCCATCATTTAAAATATGAAATATTTTATTAGTAAACCATTTTATTTATTTTAGCTTTTATCAAAAAGTGTCGGAGGTGCATTAAATATAAAATTACAATGAATTGGTGTTAATTATGTGAGAAAGAATGTATATAATTCATCCAAAACTAATTCAATTAAAACATATATTGCTCTGATTACTTCTCAAAGTTTTCGAATATGCTCATTTGTTGTACAAAAGTCATCAGCGAAAATGCAAATTTCGCTACCTATAAAAGGATCGTAAAACTTAATTTTTTATTTAAAAAATGTCAACCTAATAATATCTCACCTGAATATTTATGTTCAGGCATATGGGAAAGACCCCGCCGCCAAGAAAGATAATCGGCTGTTGTACCTTATGTATGAAATATACCAGAGCCGATTTATAGGGTCGACTGGAGCCCATCCAGTGCGAATGAAATATGGCCAAGGCTAAATTTTCACAGTCCTCAACAATCAGATCGCACGTATACGAGAATGGGAAAGTTTGAAACAAGCTAGCCGTCATATATATAGCCGTCGTAATGCCCGATATCAGGTCAGCAAATGAAACCAAATGAATCAGAGTCGAAGCCAGCACCAAGGATACAGTCGCATACTGAACAAACATTGTGCGAGAGATCAGAGGATGCATGTTCTCACAGTAGCTGAAGAGAGTTAAATATATAGATATATAGAGATATATAGATATACTTACTCTAAAATAAGTTTATGATCCTTGATGCATAGCACTAGTTCCTCGTAGTTCTCATCTTCAGTCATATCAGTCTGCATTCGCAATCGTTCGACCCTTACATGGAGCCACTTGATATAGGCCCTTACAGTCAATCCGAATATCAAAGGCGTAGCATCGAGTGCCAAGGTGGCATAGATGGCAAATACCTGTAGAAAATACTCCAAAATCGAGGCGATCCATAAGCTGCGAGTACCGTCACGCCAGTCCACAAAGGGATTATATAAGTTCAATGGCGGTATTCCCGTGGAGATGGCATAGGCCAAGTTCAGAGAAGTCGGTATAAAATATATCACATGATATACAAATATAATATAATTGCAGCGAGTCGCCAATTTGTGAACTTCGACTCTTTCCTCATATGTGACGCAACGCTCGCTCATCACGTCCAACAGATCCTTGGCCTTATCCACACGCCATCGATTCAGGAGCATTATTGTCGACTTGATCGTATAGGCGGGTGCATTGAAAAACACTTCCAGAGAGGTGAATAGAGTATCGGCATGGGAGATATCTATGGTCCACATCAGAGACTGTACGAATAGGACCGGAACATATAGAGTAAAAGCCACGACCAAACCAGTCCAAACTCTATAGAGTTGCTTTTTCATATAGCTATATGACGCGGTCGAGCCCCAGCCCAAATTTCTCAACATATAGTCCAGATATTTATAGGCGTGGCGCGAATGAAACAGATTCTCCCCTTCAGCTTCTCGAAGATATTTAAATTTCATTTTTCCACAAATCTTCTCACAACACTCGAAGCTTAAGTTAACTGACGGAATCTAACTGGAAATTGCTTTATATATAGGTCTATGGAAAAATTAAATATTCTGGATTTTTGCTTTAAATTAAAAAAAAAAAATTTGATGATACGCAAATACTTATACACTATAAGCATATAAGCTCTTCGGTTTTCTGTGGTATAATTTCTGTTGATATTTTTGAGAACTTTTAAATAAATTTATTTCACTCAAAATCTTTTACTACATAGCTAGTTCATGAAAGGGTATGAGTCAATGATAATGATGTAATTAATCCAAAAAAATATGAATCTTAAATTTATGTATGAAATTATATATCACTAATTTTAAAGTATTATTCTCATTCAATTTCGAAACTGATATACTCGTATCTCTTTATAAAATCAACATAAGTGTAAAGTGTATTCAAGTTTCCAGATGGCAAACAAATAATTTTTCTTCATAATTATATAGAAAGTTCTTGCGACTTTTTATTTTGTGCAAGTCATTGAGAGAATATTTAATCTATGGCTGAGAAAAAAAGTTACAGTTATTTTTTTCTGAATGGACGTATCACCAATTGAAGAAATCCAATATAATTCCAAAACAGAATCTGGCAAAATTCTCACAGTCAGAATCGAATGTGAAATAATATCAGCTTTACCATAAACCAATCAAATTTATATGTATATGTGCATATATTATTAAAAAAAAAAAAAAAAAAAAAAAAAAAAGTATACTATTTTAATTTTCAAATTCTATATTTATTGAACAAAGTGTATGATTCTATAATCTATTCTGTAGTGCATCTATTTTGTAGTGCATTTTCTATCTCATTTATAAGTCAAGAATATTTATTTTTTTAAATATGACTTCTAACAAACGGCTCTTCCGGTAATTTAACGATCAAAGTTTTCAAATACGCTCATCTGTTGAACAAATGTGGTCAAAGAAAATGCAAATTTGGCCACCTTAAAAAAGGAGAGAGGGAGAGAGAAAACAATATATGTAATTCCAAACAAATACCATGAAACATATCAACTTACTTGAATATTTACGTTCAGGCATATGAGGAATACGCCGCCGGCTATAAATTGGATTGGTTGCTGGGTCCTGTGAATGAAATACTTAAGGGCCGAAGTGTAGGCGGTAGGCGCACCGATCCAATTCGAATGAAATATAGCCCGCGATAGTAATTCACAGTCTTCAACTATCTGCTCGCAGATGTACGAAATTGGAAATGTTTGAAACATACAGGAGATCATATAAATGGTGGTTGTAACGCCCGAGACCATATCCGCAAAAGTCACCAAATGAACGAGTGATGAAGCCATCACCAAGGATGCTGTGGTATACTGAACAAACAAGGCAATAGAGATCAGAGGTCGCATGTTCTCGCTGTACCTATTGAAAGATTGAAGATTAAGAATGGAAAATTGAGGATTTGAGATTGAAGATTGAATATTGAAGATGGAAGTCTGAAGTTTGATGATTGTAGATTGAAGATGAAAGATGGAAGATGGCATATTCAAGATTATAGATTGATTGATTCTAATGAAAGATTGAAAATTAATAATAGAAGATTGATGATAGAAGAATTGAGCTTGAAAGTTGAATTTAAAAAAAAAAAGAGGATTTATTGAGATAGAAAATGATTGAAGATGGAAAATGGAAGATAGAAGATCAAAAATTGTAATTTATCACGAGTATACGAATATAATAAATTGTAATATTCAATTCAATAATAGTCAATTATAAATCCCTCCCATATACGACTTAGATATATTTATATTCCTTTTCACTCACTCCACAATAAGCTGATGATCCTTGATGCATTGAACAAGTTCCTGGTAGTTCTCATCCTCATTTCTTTTGGGATTAATGCGCAATCTTTCTACCCGCTCTGTCAGCCATTGTGTATAGGATCGAACAGTCAGCCCGAATATCAGAGGCATAGAATCCGATGCCATGAAGGCATGGACCGCAAAGATCTGTAGGAAATATTCGTAAAGTGCTGCGAACCACAGGCTGCGCGTATCCTTATGCCAGTCCACAAATGGGTTATACAAATTTAGAGGCGGATATCCGTAGTGGACGCTATAGACTAGATTCAGTGTCGTTGGTATTGTGTATACAAACCGATATAGAAGTGTTATGTAATTGCAGGTGACGGCCAATCGATGAACTCTCACTCGCTCTTCGTATGTCACCAATCGCTCGCTCATCACGTCCAACATATCCTTGGCCTTGTCCACACGCCATCTATTGCGGAGCATTATGGCCGACTTGATCGTATAGGCGGGGCCGTTGAAGAACACCTCGAGCGTGGTGAATAGAGTATCGGCATGGGAGATATCTATGGTCAACATGAGCGACTGAGCGAATAGAAAGGGAAGATATAGACTGAAGATGACGACCAAAACCGTATACAGTCTATATATTCGTCGATTTATCTTGCCACGCCCCTCGGTCGAACCCCAGCCCAAGAAGACCATAATATCATCGACGTATTTGTAGGCCTCACGGGCTATAAGCAGATTTTCCCCATCTGGTTTCCTGATATATTTGAAAATCATTGTTCGAGCTAAATCGCTCTATTCACAATATTCGCAGTTCACAATTATCCGCAACTAAAGTAAGCTCCTTGATTTATCATTATTTATACCTTTTTAGCGTAATGCAATAATTCCCACCAGAAAACATTATGTTTTTGCAGTATGGAAAAGTTGAGAAAACTTTTCTCCATTAGTTTTTCAACAAAACGGTAAATTCTTTATTTTATATTTATGACTTTACAATTAAAAGTTAAGCTAATTGTTTTCACTATTTTATTCGTTCAGATAATATATTAATTAAGTTCAAGGAATTTAATTAGCTGAGCTACGAAAGAGTATATAGAAATAAATAAAATATATATTTGAACACTGAGAAAAATTAGCATGTTAGAATGTGTCGTAGGGAGTACACTGAACAAATCGATTAACGATAACTTCAATTGTGGCTCAGGCAATTAGCTTGAATCGTACTGGTTCAAACTGTACCTGAAAGCGAGCCAAATGTACATACATACATAAATATAAATACATATATGTAGATGTATAAATATGTATAACACTTTTCATAAGTCATAGGAAACTTATAGGCTCTATTGCCATCTCAGCAGCAAACGAAATCGGTTCTCCAATAACTGTTATACACGCAGAGCCAAAGTGTCATAAAATTCATCACAATGATGCTTAGCGCTTGCAGTGGGACCAACTCAAAGCAAATGCGTGTGGGTGGCTTTTGCACAAGCATACAAGCACACAAACACACATACGCATTTACATATTACATATGTATATGTAGATATGTGTGTACATATTTTAAAACTGAATTTACACTAACACGCTGACCTTCAACATTATTTTGGCGGCAGTGGTAAAGAGAGACGAGTGAACACAGCAGCAACAAAAAAATTGGCAAACGGCGTAAAGGAAGTATGGCAAAAGCCAAAAATGCATACATATACAGGCACATGCACATAAGCACAGAAAAACATGTGCATTATGCATGCACACACACACACACAGCTGCATTATCATATGGCTGCAGCTGTGTGCGTGCGATTTTATAACATAAAATTGAAATTTGCTGTATGAAAACGAAATTTGCTGCAAAACGAACGAAGCGTTTGGTTTGATGGCGTTCACAGTGACTGCGACTGCGGCAGCAGCAGCGATAGCGACTGCAGCAACGACAGCGATTGCAGCAGCGACAGCGACAACCGCAGCTGCAGTTGGGTTTGAGGCATGCGCGCGCATTAGGAGCCGGCCGTGCCGAGCATGCAACACAACTCCAACATAATGTCGACGTCGACGTCAGCAGCAGCCGCGCAGTTGCTGCTGTCACTCGGTTTTCAAGTGCAAGTCCAAGGGCAACTTCGTGCAATTGCAGCGGGAATGGAATGCGACGGCTGACGCTGCGTTGGCGTCGCTGCCTTCCAGAACCTGCTGTCTGCTGCCTGCGCTCCAGACCTTGAAAGCAACTTCGTGTTGCGTTCGTTTAACACTTCGTTTATATGTGTGTATATATGCAAGCATATGATTGTATGTATCCATATATATACTCTCACTACCAACAACATGCTCACTTGCACACACACACGCACACAGGCAACTCACTTGCCTACTTGCACTCTCTATTGCCTTTTGCATTCGTGTTGGTTTTGCACATTTTCTGTTTTATCGCCATTTCTATGGCTCTTTTTCGCAATACCCAAGGACTGACTGCACGATACTGCTGGCGGCTGTTGGCTGCGACAATGAAGAAGGCGAAGGATGAGGTGCGCGCTGTATAATGCTGGTTATTTTTTTCGAGTGGGCAGCAGCATAGAACAGGCCGCCGCCGCTACCTTAGCCGCCTGCTGCTGTTATTGGTCTCTTCTTCTTTTGCTGCTGCTGATTCTGCTTCTTTTTTGTTACTCTTCGCTCTGCTGTCCAGTTTTTGACATTTCGCCCACTTTTTCCTGTTCTTCCGGTTTTTGTTTTGTCTGCTTTCCTGTTTTCGACCCATAATCCTGTCTCTGTCCGCTCGCCTGCCTCTCTGTCAGTCTGCCACGCTTTCAGCCTGCTTATGTAATGCCAAAAACGTGTTCTCTGCTTCGGGCTTTATCACAATGTTTTCTATGTACGAATCGAAATTTAATCAATTTTATCACTTGTTCGGCGCGCTTTTCATGGACAAGAAATGAGTTGAGGAGTGTGCAAGAGCTCTAATTATTTTTGTTGTTGTTATATCACTTTTATACAGACACATATATACATATGTATACATACATATATTCCATGGAGTTTCATGATGTACAGCTTTACAGGAAATCGATATACTATACTATATCATACAGATTAATAATGAAAACAATAAACAATAATAATATTTCTTGTCAAAAAATAATTTAATTTGCAAAATTTAGTAATTGGACCTTACTTCTGCTTCGAATGCTAGAAGAAAAATATAACAAAATTATATATAATATATACAAAAAAAAAAAAAAAAAAAAGAAAAAAGTACATACATATCTTTAAATAGAAATTTAGACATTAGTATATAAACTTGTTAAAAATATAAAATACATATCTTTTTTTTTAAGTATTATTATTAAAGAGCCAATAATTATATTATATATAAAATAAAAAATATCAAAAAATGTATATAATTTATTAAGGTAAAAATGTTCTGTAAACAAAATATTTATACTTAAAATTATTTAAATTACAAGTTAATTTTTTTTTTTAATTTACGTATGTTTAATTTTTTATTGTATTTATGGGGTTTTCTGACAAATTGACAGCATTTGTATTTTATATTTTTCACTCTAGTATGAAAATTATTATTTAATTATAGTATGGTAAAGTAATTATACAGAAGCTAATGAGATGCATATAGCTTTATATATTTATGTACATATGTGAGAAGTGATCTCAATGTGGAGATCCATAGAGGTGGAGATCCATGAGTGTAGCCATATATCGTATTTCTCAGGCTCTCGTCGTTTGCATATATAAAATCACAACATATTATACTTATCATAGGAATTCCTGATTTCTTTGTATGCTCTAACTGGAATACTCTTATATGTGTGTCTATTGTATCCCATTCTACGATTTTCAGTTATAGACATATATACATACACACACACACATCTATACGTATCTATACGTTGAAATTTCTCGAGTTATTTGAGCACGGCTCTCCGTTTTGGCCATTATCTATGCCAACGCCACTCGCCTGCCCCAAAAAGTAATGGCTTGATAAGGGAGTTGCCAACCCAGAGAGACCAAAAAAAAAAAAAAAAAACGAACGCGTCGTGGTGGTAAAAATGTTAGCCAAAAGCCGTGGGCCATAAATAAACCTCAATCGTAGCAGAGTCGCTCCACCGAGCCACCGAGTCAGCGAGCCACTCAACTCAAACTCCAAGATCAAATGTGCGCATAAAGCATTCAAACACGCCTGGCAACAAAAGGGCTGCGGCCCAGCCCCTTCCCCCCTCGCTTGGGCACCTCGTACTCCTACCAGTTCGTGGCAAGCGGGCGCTCTCGCTGCGCAGTCGCTGTTGCAGCAACCACCAATGTCAGCAACTCCGCCTCGACCATGCCCACCGGCCGCCCGCCCCCCAGCCGCCTCCTCTGTCCATACGCAATACGCGTGTCGCTCTCTCGACCAAGAACCCAGCCCCGCGGCCCAAACTTGCCACATGCAACAACAGCAGCAGCAATAGCAGCAGCAGCGGCAGCAACTTTCCACGTTCTTGATCGTGAATTTTCTATGCTACTGGGCCTTGAAACCTTGAAAAAAAAAACAAACAAAAAAATACAAAGAGAAGTAGATGTAAGAAATTGTTGTACACAGCAGCAGGCGGCATGGAGCATGGGGCATGAGGCATGGGAGGAAGGCGGCTTGTTGCCAAGGGGGCGCGCTGTGTGGGTGTGGCTGGAGTTTGGCGCAGCAGCTTTGCCGCATTACGTCAGTGCCACATAAGCTGCAAGTAAAAGGGAAACTTGGACTCCATCCAATGCGGAGTTTTAATGTCACTTTGCCACTGCCACAGCCACAGCCAGAGCTACAGCTACAGCTACAACGAGGCATAGATACAAATACACACACACAGATACAGATACACATACACAAAGATACTTGAGTTACTTGCCAGGAATACATACATACATACATATGTATATATTTGTGTGTATGTAGCTATGCTTAGCTGTCGTTTTTCTTAGGCAGTTCTTTTTGCTGTGCCTCTTCTTATGCGCTACCCCTCCCCCTTCTCCCCCCTCTCCCACCCCCTGCTTGCCATTCGTCAAGAGTTGCGCCTGCTTTTCTGCACATTTGTTTGGCTTCGTCGCGGAGTTTGGCCAAGACTTTGACTCTGACTTGGCCGAGGTCGTGTCTGTGTGTGAGTGTGTGTGTGTGCGTTTGGGACAAGGTGTTTCATGTTGTTAATGGTCCTATGCGGTTTAGCTGAACCGCCTCCGCCCACACCCCATTTCCTGCACATTTTCCATGCCTATCTGAGTCTCTGCATGTGTGTGTGTGAGTGAGTTTTTCTTTCGTTTTTCAGCAGCTTTTGCCAATTTGCGTTTTATTTTCCACACACAGAAAAGGGAAATCGAAATTATGGCCAAACTGTTTGGTCCTTTATGCAGCTACTGCGCAGCTCCATAATAGATTTTGATTTAATTTTTTATTTGTATTTTTTGCTCTATGGTTGCTTTAGTGAGTCATCACTGTGGTTAGAGTTGCTCTCGCCTGAAATTGCTTTGTTTTGGCGCTCGTGCTGCGGCATAACTTAATTTGGTTTAGAGAGTTGTTAGGGTAATACCAATATATAATCTATATATTTGAGTGAAGGGAAAATGGTAGTTCATACATATAGACATTCACTAGAGAAAGTTATGTACTAAAGATGATTGTATAGATATTATACTTTATAGATTTAGTTCACAAATTGATCTGAAAAAACTTGAAGAGATGCATCGAGCCTTTTAATAATATTATAGATATTTTTGTCAGTGACGAAGCTGCTTGAAAATGCAATAATAAATTGGAGAAATAATATAAAAAATTGAGAAAAAATTGTGGATAAATTAAGTTTATGATATAGTCAATTATATAGTCAAATACATTTCGAAAAATAGATTGAACAGAGATTAAAAATTTCATTTATTAAATATATAAAAATATGTTATATACATACAAAAGAAAAAATATATTAGTTAAACAAATTACTATAGTTCGTGCGACGCTATAGATGCTCGAGATTTAAAATTTTTGAAAGTTGAGCTTCCCCGGTAATTGAATTCTAAGTTAAATTTCTTTACAATTCACAATTTTCGCCAGGTAGCAGGTGTTACCTGTCCTATCTAGATTTTCAGCAAACACCCTCAAATCTCTTCACAGCTTTTATCTAATCTGCTTTGTGCTATGATAGCATTTTCATTGTTTTTCTTTGTTTTTTTTCTCATACGAAAAGGAAAGTGCCCCAATACACACACATACACACATGCTGCTGTGTGTGTGTTTGTGCTTTGGCCAACCCCAAATTGGCCAGCGTATGAAATACATATCGAAATTTTAGCGCAGCTCCACCCATTGAGAGGCAACGCACGCCTACATTGGGGCCTCGCGCATTCAGTGTAACTCGATGGCCAATTTTCTCATTCAATTCGAAAGTTCTTCAGCTCTCTGTGATTATACAAATATTCATAAAATATATGGTATATATATATATATTTATATATTTATTTGCTGCTGGCGTCACAGAAGCTTAACAGATTAATTGCACGACTCTAGAGCGCAATTTAGAACTCCCTTACCGTTAACCCTCTCCCTCTCGGTCTCTGTTGCCCCACTCCTTCCCTGTGGCGCCTTTTCTGTCGCACTCTGTGCTGATTTATACGTGCGCTGCTCCCAATTTGTGTTCGCAATGCCCGAACTCCCTATTGGCATGCAAAAACTTTTGCACATTGTCATGCAGCCTGTTCTCTTCTATACCCTGTGGCCAATGCTGCTGTGTAAGGGTATATGGGTTTGAGGGCATATGTGTGAGCTTATGAGAATTATTGGTTTTGTTGCTTGCATTACTTTAGGCATAGAAATAGCTATCCACAAGACTATCTATATATATATATATATATACAAGTGAACATGCTACTAATCATGCATGCTACACTTAAGCTAAGATCTGGAACGGCAAATTAATATATATTATTTAGGAAGGACTACAATTCAGTATGGTATATACATATATCGAAAATGGAGAAGCGGAAACAAATTATAAGTTTAAGATATGATCGAATATTTATATATATTATATGCCGTTATTTGGTAAATAGGGAATTCTTAGTTGTCTAACAGTATATTTTCAAGCTATGGTGCGCTTATGCCTATATATAGAGTATTTGTTAGTCAGCTATCATAGTACTTTAGCATATCTGTGAGCTGTCTAAGATGTCAGAGTTACTTTTACAATTACTACGCATATATAGGGTATCTATTAGTCGTTTCAACAATCGCTTTCATGCCATGATGCTTGCATAGGATATGCGTTAGTCCTAGCTGATACTCTTTCACTCTCACACACATATGCATTATGCGTATAGGGTAACTGCTAGTCGTGCACCATCTTTGCGCGAATTTCGTGCATGTTTTTGTTCGGTTTTTTTTTTGTTCTTGCTTTTTGGCTGTTTTCCACACGGAACCCAACAACATGCAACATTGCAATTGTTTGTCAACCATGGACCGTTACATCCGCTGGAATTGGATTAATGCTGACTGCCTGGTTGGCTGCTCATTTGTCCAGCAAATGCCCGCACCGACCCAACCCGACCCGATCCGATCCGAGACGAGACGAGACGCGTTGCCGCTAGCTGTGGCTGCTGATCAAATTTGTGCATGTCCATTTAACCCCTTGTTGCATGTGGAGCCGCTGCCCAAATGCAATTAGACCATGACCGAAGCACCAACTGTTCGCATAGTGCTAGGTGCCACTGTAAAAGTGAAACCTGCCCTGAAACTTTCCCACAGGATTTGATGGCACCCCTTTTATTTTGGCATTTGTACTCTCCTCGTCTTCTGGATTTCTTTTATTTATTTTTTTTGTGACTCGTCCAATTAGATTAATTTCGCTTAATTGTAAAACTGTTGCCTCTTCTTCTTCTTCTCCTTTGTTGAACAATGGCAATGCAATGCGAGAGGTTCCATCTGCTGAAGCAGCGCCTAGCCCCGCCCACCCCGCGGCCCTGCTGCGACAAACAGGCATAAATCAACACATCCGCTCAACAGTTCCAGGAACCGCCCAGCGCTGTCTATT